GGTTTGGAGTGGGGTGGGCTTGGGGGTGGAGTAGGCTGGGGGTTGGGATGTGGGGGCCGGAGTGGGGTGTGATGGGTAGGGGTTGGATTATAGAGTGGGCATGGGTGGTGGGGGTGGAATGGGAGTTGGGGGGTGGCTGGGGGAGTGGGGTTGGAGTTGGTGTGGGGTGTGGAGCTGGGGTAAGGGTGGGTTTGGGGTGTTTAGTAGGGTTGGAATGTGGGGGCTGGAGTTGGGGGAAGGAATTTGGGTGGGGGTGAAGGGTTGGATGGATGTTACGGTGGGGGGTGGCTTTCAGCCTCTTTGTGAAACACATGCAGAGACCAATATTCTTTGGAAAAGCTTCTTAATCTCTCGAGGAAAAGCTTGCTGCCCCTCTCACAAACTCCCAGCCCCTCCTTTGTAAATGTTTGGAATCCAATCCCCCACTGATACCCCAGCATCGGTTTTCCTCATTACTCTCAAATCCAATCACATTAACCAAATCAGATGAGAATGGAACGGCAAGTGGGAATGGTGAGGGGTCACAGGGAGGGCAGTAATGTGAGGGTGGGAGGGGGGGGCAGTAAGAGGCCACGAGGAGTGGTGAGTAAGTTAGCAGGGCTATTGCGTTGAAGGATGGCGCATTCCTGACATTCGGACAGCAGGTGAGCTTTCCAATGTCTCATGTAGCCAATGCAATTCCCCGGAAATTGCTGTCTATATCCCACATTCAGCCACATCTCATCTGCTCCTACTCTGCAGAACTGGTCCCTCTCCTAAGTGTCCACGCACTCACACTGCCCTCTGTTCCAGACACATTCCTCACGGATTAACATCCAAATTGGAGGATTCTCAGGATTTGACCCCGGTTGAAGAGGGGTTCCCACCATCTCAATCCCTTCCACAGCAACATCAAGCCAGCTGCTGTGATCTTCTGGCATGATGTTTTATGATACAATCCCATTCCTGTTGAGAATCTCTTACCTTCAGGGTCATCTCTGCCACAAAGATAGCTGTGAAGAAATAGTTGGAAACGCTGAGGAAGATCCTTTCCTGCAAAAACAAAGCCCAAACCATATAAAGTTAGATAGAACACGAAGTGACCACCATGAATTACTAGCTATTAGAGATCGGATATGGAAAACAGAAAATAGCTTTCACCTGCAGAACTAGATAACTATTACTTTTCTTTAACTACTCTCGGTCACAAAACTTGTTAAATCATTGTAATGGAGGGAAAGTGGCGATGACTGATGAGATAAACTGCTTTTAGTGATATTGAATGAGCCAGCTAGTCTTCAGTCGAATCGATTCACTTCCCGTGATATCACAGAACAGTTGAAGACACTGGATACTGCAAAGGCTACGGGCCCTGACAATTTTCCGGCAATAGTACTGAAGACTTGTGCTCCAGAACTTGCCGCTCCCCTAGCCAAGCTGTTCCAGTACAGTTACAACACTGACATCTACCCAACAATGTGGAAAATTGCCCAGATATGTTCAGTACACAAAAAGCAGGACAAATCCAACCCGGTCAATTACTGCATCATCAGTCTACTCTCGATCATCAGTAAAGTGATGGAAGGTGTCAGTAACAGTGCTATCAAGCAGCACCTGCTCAGCAATAACCTGCTCAGTGACGCCCAGTTTGGGTTCCGCCAGGGCCACTCAGCTCCTGACCTCATTACAGCTTTGGTTCAAACATGGACAAAAGAGCTGAATTCCAGAGGTGAGGTGACAGTGACAGCCCTTGAAATCAAGGTTGCATTCAACGGCATCATTGAGCTTTAGCAAAAACTGGAGTCAGTAGGGATAAGGGGGCAAAATCTCTGCTGGTTGGAGTCATAGCTGGCACATTGGAAAATGGTTGTGTTTGTTAGAGGTCAGTCATCTCAGCTCCAGGACAGCCCTGCAGGAGTTCATCAGGTCAATGTCCTAGGCCCAACCATCTTCAAATGCTTCATCAATGATCTTCCCTCCATCATAAAGGTCAGAAGTGGGGATGTTTGCTGATGATTGCACAATGTTCAGCACCATTCACAACTCCTCAGATACTGAAGCAGTCCGTGTTCAAATGCACGATCTGGATGATATCCAGGTTTGGCTGATAAGTGCCAAGTATCATTCACACCATACAAATGTCAGGCAATGACCATCTCCATCAGGTGAGAATCTAACCACCTCTCCCAATATTCAATTACATTGCCATAATGGAATCTCCCACTATCAACATCCTAGGGGTTACCATTGACCAGAAACTGAACCAAAGTAGCCATATAAATACAGTGGCTCCAAGAACAGGTCAGAGATTGGAAATTTCACAGCGAGTGACTCACTTCCTGACTTCCAAAACTCATTCACCATCTACACGTCACAAGTCAAGAGTGTGATGGAATACTCCCCATTTGCCTGAACCAATGCAACTCCAATAACACTCAAGAATATTGACACCATCTAGGAAAAACCAACTCTTTTGGTTGGCATTCCATCTACCATCTTCGTCATTCATTCTTTCCATCACCGACGCTCAGTAGCAGCAGTGTGTACTATCTACAAGATGCACTGTTGAAATTCACCAAAGATCCTCAGACAGCACCTTCCAAACCCACGAGCACTTCCATCTAGAAGGACAGGGGCAGCAGATATATGGGAACACCACCCCCTGCAAGTTCCTCTCCAAGCCACTCACCATCCTGACTTGGATTTATATTGCCGTTCCTTCACTGTCATTAGGTCAAAATCCTGGAATTCCCTCTCTGAGGGCATTGTGGGTCAACCTATAGCATCTGGACTGCAACGGTTCAAGAAGGCAGTTCACCCCCACCTTCTCGAGAGGCAACTAGGGACGGGCAACAAATGCTGGTCTTGCCAGCGATGCCTACATCCCGTGAACAAATGAAAAATCAACCGACATCCCAAAACAGAAAATCTAGTCATTAGCACAGTGTGGGAGCTTGCTGTGTGAACTCCAGCTGCTGTGTTTCCTACGTTATGACAATTTGAAAAGCCACTGCTTTGGAACTTTTGGAGGTTGTGAACTGTATCGTAAAAAGGTCAACACTCGCTTTTCTGTTTTTATCGATAGCAAAGTGAAAGCTGAAGAGTCACTCACTGTGCTTCCCTGGTCAATCTCAGGCCTCTCCAACGCCACCGTGATGCAGTTCAGGAAAATAAAGGCCAGAACGATGTAATCGAAGAGCTTGTGGGTGATGATCATTTGACACATCAGGCGGAAACTAGTCAGGTCAGAGAACACAGAATTGGAACTGTCACTTAACTGGCAAGAAAAGTCAGGGTACTAAAGCTAATGGGCACAGGGACATAGGCATCACAACCTCTGCAGATGTGCAGAGAAAGAGCCAAAATCCTGCAGCAATGGCACAGGACGATCCACTTGGATCTAAACTCAAACCTTGAAGTGGCTGAAATACACACAGTCTCAAAGGGAAAGAAGTCTTAATGTTTTTGGGCGGGTTGTTGTCAGAAACAGAAAGTGTCATGGTTTTAATAAAGTCATCCAAGTTCACTGGACAGATGAACAAGGAACAAAGGCAGGCCACTCAGCCCTTCGAGCCTGATCCCCCATTCTGATCTGATCTGAATCTCATCTCTACGTTCCTGCATTTCCCCGATAATCTTTCATCCCCTTGGTCATCAAGAAGCTATCTCCCTCTGCCTTCAAAATATCTAAAGACATTGCCTATTGAGGAAGGGAATCCCTTAGACTCTCAATCCTCTGACAGAACATTTTCTATTTCCTCATCTCTGCCTTAAATGGGCGATCCCCTATTTTTAAAAGGTGACTCCTGGTTCTAGATTCTCCCACAAAAGGAAATGTCCTCTGTACACCCACCGGGTCAAGTCCCCTCGGGATCTTACATGTTTAATTTAATCTTCTAAACTCTAGAGGATACAGGCCCAGCCTGAAGATAACTATGTGATTTCACCTTTTAATTCTTCTCTGGGACATGGGCATCAGCATCAAGGCCAGCACTTGTTGTCCATCCCCAACTGCCCTTGAACTGAATAGCTTACCTATTTCAGAGGGTAGTTAAGATCCAACTGTATTACTATGGGTCTGGAGTCACGTGTGGGCCAGACAGGGTAAGGATGGCAACTTTCCTTCTCTGAAGGGAGTTGGTGAACCAGATGGGTTTTTACAACAATCAGCACCAGTTTTACATTCCAGATTTGTATTAGTTGAGTTTAACTTCCACCAGCTGCTCTGATGTGATTTGAACCCTTGTCCCTAAGCAACAGTCAGGGCCTCCAGATGACAAGTCCAGTGAGATTTCCAACTCACATTCCGAACGGTCAGTCTCCTGAATGGTGAGCTTGGCTTTCATTCCGAACACCTGCCCATTCCGTCCACACCCCTCCACCAACCTCAAAGAACAAAGGTTGTTTTAAAGTTTGCTTTTAGGTTTTTACCCCATATAATGAGGGCATCTTAGATACAGAGGAACCCACAAACTGATAATACCTATTCCCCACCCTCTTTCAGAATACACACATTCCAGATATTCCTTTCCAAACTGACTATTGGCCTGATCCTTTGGAGAGTGTTGTGCTAATATCATACCAGCGCTTATAAACAGAGGCCATTCAGCCCCTTGAGTCTATTCTGCTATTCAATCCGATCATGACTGCTCTGTACCTTAGCTCCATTTACTGACCTCGGTTTTAAATCCCTTAACTCCTTTGCCTAACAACAAATAAAGATCAATTTCAGCACTGACAATTTCTTCCAATTTCAACATTTATGGTGAGGAACCGGGAGAATTCAGACTGCCCCCCTCCTGTGAAGAAGTGTTTTGTAACATCACCCCTGAATTTTAAGGATGTGCCTCCTTGTTCTGGAAACTCCCACCATTGGAAATAAATTCTCTTTACACCACCAACATCCTGACTTGGAAATATATCACCGTTCCTTTACCGTCGCTGGGTCAAAATCCTGGAATTCTCTCCCTAAGGCCATTGCGGGTCAACGCACAGCAGATGGGCTGCAGCGGTTCAAGAAGGCAGCTCACCCCTACCTTCTCAAGGGGGCAATTAGGGACGGCCCAGCTGATGACACCCACATCCCATGAATGAATTTTTAAAATCACCCTTTCAAATAGAATCATAGAATCACAGCATTGCACAGCACGGAAACAGACCTTTCGGTCCAACTCATCCATGCTGACCAGATATCCTAAATTAATCTAGTCCCATTTGCCAGCATTTGGCCCATATCCCTCTAAACCCTCCCCATTCATATATCCATCCAGAACCCTTTTAAATGTTCTCATTGTACCAGCCTCCACCACTTCCTCTGACAGCTCAGTCCATACACGCACCACCCTCTGTGTGAAAAAGTTGCCCTTTTAAATCTCTCCCTTCTCTCCTTGAACCTATGTGCTTTAGTTTTGGACTCCCTACCCTGGGGAAAAGACTTGACTATTCACCCTATCTATGCCTCTAATCATTTTATAAACTGCTACAATGTCATCCCTCATGGTGTGTACCCAGCCCTGCAGATCTTTGCAGATAAAGTCACCTACTGGATATTGGCTCTCTGCGGTCTTCTGAATGCTTACCTATTCTGTGGGGAGAACAGATAAACTGACCAGTCTGCCCGAGTATCACACCAGTCGGGTTTGTAGATTTCCACCATCTTCTGAATTCGGAACCACAGGCTCTGCAAGGAAGATGAGCAAACCCAGTTATCACGAGGAACAAACAATAATCTTACCCACTATGTGAATGCTGACCTCTCGCCATTGCTGCTAAGCAGGGTCAAACCACTATCCTTTCATCTGATCAGATGTAGGATGTCTTCCTTGACTGGACAGGTCAGAGATTCCAGATGAGAAAGAAAGACTCCCCTCTTGGAATTACAGAATCATACAGGGTAGAGGAGGCCACTCTGCCCACTGAATTCATGTTTGCTCTTTCAGAAAGCAATCGAGTGAGTCCCACTCCTCTCTTTTATCCCCAAACCCTGCAATTTTGCCTCCTTCAACTATTAATCAATGTCTCTTTTGAAGCTTCAATTGAAGCTGTATTTTTTTTTTTAATCAGGCACTGCATTCCAAATCCTGATCATAGGCAGTGGAGAGAAAGGTTTTGTTGATGCTGCCTCCAATTCCTTTTTGCAATCACATTAAGCCCGTGCCCTCTGATTACTGACTCTTCAGTCATTGTACTTACTCCATCAGAACACTTCACCGCTATATAAACACCTTGATCTTATTTCCTCTCAGGCTTCCCTGTTGTATACTCTGGCAAGTACATGATATGACAATAATGGAATCTTTAAACAATCACTATGATCAGTCTCGGTCAATGACCCTGAAATAAGGTGAAGAAAGCCCCCATTGGTGATTTACTCTGGGAACCATCGATCTGATGTCTCCTGTTCTTGCCACACTACACAAGGTGTACTTTCCCTCAGGGCGGGTTCAGCTGTTAGGAATTGAAGGAAAGGGAGTTTTGAAAATGTTCTGACATCGATTTCTGGTAGGCACCAGCCCAGAGTGCCCTTTCAGTAAATCTCTTAGTTTTTCACCCTCTCGACATCACATTGCAAAGTAAAACCTTCCAGATCTTGACAGGTCACCTTCACCACTCCCCTGGCATAGGTCAATGGGCCTTTAGGGTACAGTCCATGTGCATGCACAAGCACAAACAAAACGACAATATTGTTTAAGAATAAATGTGGACGGACATGTTCTAGAGGTAATAGAGTGCAGCTGGGGCATCTATTCAAGGGCTGTTTTTTTTTTCTGGTAATATTTGTGCCTGAGTACCCTTGGAGAGAGAGCACATGGTGTTCACCAACAGCCTCAAGGCTTTTAGGGAGAGGTGGGCGCCTTTTTTTTTGGGGGGGTGGTTGCGGTGGGGGGTCGGTAGGACTGCATTATCTCCACCTCCAACTCCGACACTGCACCTGCTGAGTGACACTTGTCATAGAATCCCTACAATGTGGGAGCAGGCCATTCGGTCTATTTGAGTCCACTCCGCCCCTTCAAAAAACATTCCATCCAGACCCACCTCCCACCCTATCCCTGTAACCCTCACATTTCCCATGGCTAACCCACCTAGCCTGCCCATTATGGGCAATTTCCCACAGCCAATCCACCCTAACCTGTGCATCTTTGGACTGTGGGAGGAAACCAGAGCACCCAGAGGAAGCCCACACAGATGGTCACCTGAGGGTGGAATTGAACCCAGGCCCTTGGCACTAACCACTGAGCCACCATGCTGCCCCTTCTTAACTATATAGCAATTGTCCTTACCCAAGGGTGGACTTGAACCCACGTCCCTAGCACTGTGAGGCAGCAGTGCTAACCACTGAGCCATCATGTCAATTGTTACTTGCTTTGGTGTTTCAGTGAGTTAATTTGGTGATGGACCAACAAATAAAAAAGGCTAAATCAGGATCCCTAATTTTAAAACAGTGCCCCCAGGGCCTCCTGAGGTGCAGTGATAGAGCTCCTATCTCTGAGCCAGGAGGTCCAGGTTCAACTCCCACCTGCTCTAGAGGTGTGTAATATCTCTGAACAGGTTGATTAAAAACAATCTAAACGGTGTCACTAATTCTGGACTGATCCACAAAACTTTGAGTTATACAAATAGGCTGGGGCTATTTTCCCTGGAGCGTAGAAGCCTGAGAGATTTATAACATCATGAGGGTTATGGATAGGGTGAATAGCCAAGTATTTTATTCCCCAGGGTAAGGGTGTCCAAAACTAAAGGGCATAGGTTTGAGGTGAGAGGGGAAAGATTTAAAAGGGATCTGAGGGGCAACATTTTCACACAGAAGGTAGTGCTTGCATGGAACGAGCTGCCAGAGGAAGTGGTAGAGTTGGGTACAATTATAACATTGAGAAGACATTTGGGCAGGTACATGGATAGGAAAGAGTTAGAGGGAGATGGGCCAAATGCAGGCAAATGGGGCTAGTTCTGTTAAGCAAACCTGGTCTACATGGATGAGTTGGGCCGAAGGGCCTGTTTCTGTGCTGTATGACTCTATGGGTCTATGACTCTAAGAGGAACATCCTTTCCATGACCACCTTGTGAAGATCATTCAGGATCATATAGATGTTAATCAAGTCTCCCCCTCACTCTTCTAAACTCCAGTGGAAAGAAACCCAGTCTGTTCAACGTTTCATCATAAGGTAACCCACGTACTCCAGGCATCAATCTCATAAATCTCCTCTGTACCACCCCCAATGCATTTTGGAAAATTAACACTAACACAGCCACTGCCTCATCAGTCACCTCTTTTTAGACCCCAGAATGATGTGCTCTGGATCCAGAGATTTGTCAGTTTACAGCTCTGTCAGTTTGTACCATTTCCCTAACGATCAAATAAGGTTAATGTCTAACTTTCAATGCAATCACTCCTCACACTGTAAGCCTCCCTTCCAATCCAGCAACAACATCACAGTCACTCTGTTCAAAGCCACTGATTACCCCTCCCATGAAGTAATGACCCCTTGCAAACAAAGTCCACATATCCCACTCCTTCTCTAATCTTTGTCAAATTCCATCGGGTCCCTGTTCTGCACTGGCCCAAGTTGCTGCCTCAAACCTCAGATCCTTTCTTGGCCCTTCCTATGTCCCCTCTTCATGACCTTCCGCGTTCCATCATCACCTTCTATTGTCGGATCTTTGCTGACATCTAGCTCAATAGCTGATTTTTTTTCCAGTAACAATACAATAGAAATCAAATATAGCAACACAGTAAAAGAGCATTCACCTTGCAAAGTCTATTTGTTTTTATATATTCCATCTGGTCCACTTAAAGACACCAGTCAAGTCCTGTGGGGCTCCCACCTCAGGAACATTTTGATGTGTCCTTCAATATTGTCTTTAAAACATCATCTTTGAGTGAACCTGCAGCCCTTCCATCACTCAAAGTTGCACTTCAGTGACCAGTCTGCTTGCTGATTTACCTGCACTGGGATTTTCCATTGTACCGAAGAGCTCAGGATAAACACAAGCTGTTCCTGTTACTTATTCAAGTCTGTTTGAAAGGGTTATGTACGTATCTGCCATCCAGATTGGTAGCGAGTGAAATAATCTATTCCCCAAGAAGCTTATCAAACTTCATGAACGTTACATGAAGAAATTGCACTCGATGTACTTTTGGAGCCGTTCCCATTAGGTTTATTTATTTTTAAAGACGTGGCACAGGGTTACATAGAGATAACAAGGTGTAGAGCTGGATGAACACAGCAGGCCAAGCAGCATCATAGGAGCAGGAAGGCTGACGTTTCGGGCCTAGACCCTTC